ATGGGAGAGATGACAGTTTAAAAATAAGGGGTCTTCCATTTAAGACAAGGATGAGGAAAATTCTTTTTCTCTCAGTTCGCTGTGAATTTTACAACTCTCCATATAGGATTACAGGGCATGAGCTATAAAGAGAGACTGGACAAACTAGGGTTGTTTTCTCTGGAGCAGCAGAGGCTGAGGGGAGACTTGATAAAAGTTTATAAAATTATGAGAGGCTCACAGTAGATTGACAGTCAGAATCTTTTTCCCATAGTTGAAATATCTAATACTAGAGGGCATGTATTTACGGTAAGAGGGGCAAAAGTTCAAAGGAGATGTGAGGGGCAAGTTTTTTACACAGAAAGTGGTCGGTGCCTCATAGAGGTGACCTTATAGAAGTTTTTAAAATCATGAGGGGATATAGGTAGGGTTAATGGTAGGTGTCTTTTCCCTAGAATGGGACATTCGAAGACTAGGGAACACATTTTTAAGGAGAGAGGAGAGAGATTTAAAAAAGAGATGAGGGGCAATTTTTACACAGAGGGTGGTTTGTGTGTGAAATGAACTTCCTGAGGAAGTGGTGGCTGCAGGTACAATTATAACATTTAAAAGACACTTAGATAAGTATGAATAAGAAAGGTTAGAGGAATACGGGCCAAGTGCAGGCAGGTAGTTTGGGATTATGTTCAGCGTGGTCTGTCTCCATGCTGTATGATTATAAGTGTATATGATCATTCCAGGACCTGTGCAGGAGCGCTAGACAAGAATAAGAGGCCATGCGGAAGAAAGTCAGAGTTTCAAAGCCAAAGTTGGTTTACATCCAAGATCGGGCTCTGAACCCCCTCCTGTTCCTGATTGGCCTGGGCCTTCTTAGCCTGTCCACCATCTACAATGCACAACCAGGAGTGTGATGGAATACTTGTCTGGATGGAGGCTGCTCCAACAAGACTCAATAAAGTTGACACCATTCATGATAAAGAAACCCTCTTGATTGCACCACCACTTTAACGTCCACCCCCTCCAACACAAACACACAGTAGCAGCCTTGTGTACTATCTAGAAATTGCACTGCCGAAAATCACCAAAGTTCCTTTGACAGCACCTTCCAAATCCACCACCTCTTCCATCTAGAAAGACAAGGACTACAGATACACGGGAATATGGCAACCTGCAAGTTCCCCTCAAAGCCACTCGCCATCCAGATTTGGAAATATATTGACTGTTCCTTCACTGTTGGAAATTCTGAATCGAAATTCTGAAATGCCCTTCTGGACAGCATTGAGGTGTGCCTACACCCCAAGCATTTCAGCAGTTCAAGGCAGCTCATCACCACCTTCTGAAGGGGTAATTAGGGATAGGCATTAAATGCCGGCCTCACCGGTGTTTGCCACATCCCATGACTGATTAAAAATAAAATTGAGCAAGTGAGACAGGAGGTGTCCTGGTCTGTACCCATGTTTACGGATGCCATGGAGCCATATGGTGGGAATGATAAGAATGTGACCAAGATTCTGAAAGACAAGGGTATGGAAGATCAAAAGACAGCAGATCCAATATATGGTCTGTCAGTCAGTGCCTAAGGAAGAGGAAGATTATGAGCGAAGGCTCGGAGAAGATGAGTAGTTTCAAAGGATGAGTGGTGGCAGAAAATGCAAAAATCGCAAAGGCAATTTAGCAATGAATGAGCTATGGTCAGAATAATTAGAGGGCAGTCAATAGAATGTTATGTGATAGAAATGGTTCATTGAAACTGAAAGGAAGGAACTGCATAACAGGTGTGAGACCGGCGTTGCTATGAAACAGCAGAAACTTGGGCCACGTCCAAAAGAAAGGAACAGCAAATAGACACGAATGATAAATGGATTCTAAGATAGAATTGGCAGGGTTGGGGAGGGGTGGTGTTGGGTGAGTAACAAGAAAAGACAAGATGAGGAGCCAATGCATAGGGTCTTCAGTGAAGGCTCTGGTAACACTGAAAAATGTGGCAGAGAAGAGACTGAAAAGGAGTGGTGAAGAGAGGGAGGAAATAGGGACAAGGAGAATGATGGAGATGAAAGAGGGAGAGGAGGAAAGTGGAGACCAGATTTAAGATGCAGCGTTGAGATGAGAGTCTTTACAGCAGAATTGGAAGAGTGAGAGTGACAGAGGAGGTGGATCAACCAGCATCGTGATGATCACAACTAAAACAGGGCGAAGCCAGATAACATCCTAACACCCCACTTCCTGTAAAGACTCCATCCCATTCTCTCAGTTCTTCCATCTCCATCGCATATGTTCAGATGAGGCCAACTTCAACAAGGGAGCCTTTGAAATGTCCACCTTCTTCCTCAACTGAGGATTCCCCAGCTCCGTTGTCAACAGGGCCCTCAACCAGGTCCGACCCATCTCCCGTACTTCCGCCCTCACCCCTTCTCTTCCCTGCCGCAACAGCGATAGGGTTGCCCTTCTCCTTACCTACCATCCCACCAGCATCCATATCCAGAAGATCATCAGATGCCATTTACACCATCTCCAGCGACATGCCACCACCAGATACATATTCCCCTCCCCTCCCTTGTCTGCCATCCGCAGGGACCATTCCCTCCGGGACACCCTGGTCCACACTTCCTTCACCCCCAATACCTCCCCACAGCCCTACGGCACCTTCCCCTGTAACTGGCGAATGTGTAACACCTGCCCATTTACCTCCTCCCTCCCCTGTATCCAAGGGCCCAAACATACCTTCCAGGTAAAGCAACGCTTCACCTGCACGTCCCAGAATCTAGTCTACTGCATTTGCTGCTCACAGTGTGGTCTCCTCTACATTGGGGAAATGAAGCGTAGACTTGGCGACCGCTTCGCAGAACATTTACGTTCTGCTCACAAAAAGACCCTGAACTACCTGTTGCCTGCCACTTTAACGCATCACCTTGCTCCCTGGCCAACATCTCTGTCTCTGGCTTGCTGCAGTTTTCCAGCGAAGACCAACGCAAGCTGGAGGAACAACACCTCATTTTCCGCTTGGGGACCCTACAGCCCTCCAGACTCAATATTGAGTTCAATAATTTTAGGGCCTAAACACTCCCATGTCCCAGCCCCCTACCCCACACACCAGGCCTTGTTACCACACAGCCTGTCATTACACACCCCCTGTTGTTAGTCACTAACAGTCCCCATTAACAACTACTCACCCTCCCAGCCTGTCTGTCCAACTGTCTTTCTCTCTCTTTGGGCTCTATCCTATCATTTATTCCCTACCCCACCCACCTCCTTATTTTCTGCATTTCAACTGACGTTTTCCCAGCCACCATTAGTTCTGAGGAAGGGTCACTGGACCCGAAACGTTAACTCTGTTTTTTTCTTCACAGATGCTGCCAGACCTGCTGAGCTTTTCCAGCAAATTTGTTTTTGAAGCCAAATAAATACGCTTGAGGGATAACTATTGATCAGGACATCAGAGATAACTCAAATAGAATCAGAAAATTCTGGAAAAACTCAGCAGCTGTAGGGAGAAAGAAAATGAGTTACTACTTCAGGTCCAACAGTATTATGTCAGATTTCCAGTATTCGCTGTATTTTACCTTCACACTGGGGAGAACTCCCATGTGCTTCTTCCAAATATTCCATGGGAATTTTACATCTGCCTGAACAGGCAAAAGAGACCTCAGACAAATGTCATATCTGAAAGCCAGCACCTTAGACAACACAGCACTGCAACAGGAGTATAAGATTTATTGTGATCAGCCTCTGGGATGTTCCTTTAAAGATGCAACAAATTAAATAAGAACAGATCGGATTTTGACGTGGTAAATCAGTTCACTAGAATCACACCATACACATGACCATTCTTCCCATTGAGCTTGTGCTGGCATTTTGAAAAAGATATCCAATTAATCCCAATAAAAACCAAAAGAACTGCAAATGCTGTTAATCAGAGACAAAAATAGGAATTGCTGGTAAAGCTCAGCAGGTCTGGCAGCATCTGTGGAGAGAAATCAGTCCAAAACGTTAACTCTGATTAACTCTCCACAGGTGCTGCAAGACCTGCTGAGCTTTTCCAGCTATTTCTATTTTAATCCCAGGAATATATCTGTTGCCAACATGATACATGTGCAAGTGCATTGTAGCTGCTTTGCGATGTGTGAGAGTTTGCACACATGCAGAATGGCATCTTTGGGTACATGCCAGATGGGTGGCCAGGTTGGCGTTGTCAACAGTCACTCCTTTCTTCAGTTCATGTCGTTCGCTGGGTCAAATCCTATTACAGTTCTGAGGAAGGGTCACCAGACCTGAAACGTTAACTCTGTTTTCTCCTCCACAGATGCTGCCAGACCTGCTGAGCTTTTCCAGCAACTTTGTTTTTGTTCCCATTACTCCTTCACTAGCAGCACTGTGGGTGTCCCTGCATCACCTGGACTGCAGTGGTTCAAGAAAACAGCTCAACAGCACCTTCTCAAGGGAATTAGCAATGCTCACTAAGTGCCAGTGATGCCAACATCCCAAGAATTAAACTTGAGAAAAAGTGTGGTGGCAGAAGGAGAAGCGAATGGGGATAAGTAAAGATGGCTACAGTCATTTGGAGGAGTGAGGGTTTTGGTACAATGGAACATCAGGGTGAGCGACAGGGTTTTTGAATGGAGTTTGGTTGACAGGAAGTGTATGAAGAATTTGAAGCTGGGGTACAAAAGTTTTACAGAGCAGTGAGAGAAGTGTGTGACAATGCAATGGAGGTGAAAGCAGGCACCAACTGACCAAAGCAAAACCTAGACTTAGTCAAGAAGAGATTTGTTGAAAGATTTGAAAGAGCCGGTTTGGGGAAGACTCCGATATAATGAGGCATCAGTCACCCTTTGTCCACATATTGCTTTATATTTGGTCTCTGGCCGTTTGAATGAAGGCGCTGGGGAAATACAAGTTGTCGTTGTAAAGCTCTGTAGGGGGTGCTATTGCGGGAGGTCGCGTTCAGCGGGAAGCGTGGTACACTCTTGCAGCATGTCCGACACTCGTTGACGCAGGGTGTTGGGAGGCGGGCCTGGGCTGCTGCCATGTTGTTGAGGTCCTCCGCGCGCATGTCCGTTTGTGAGCGGCAGGCTGGAGGTTTTGGGGGGGGGTTGGGGAACGGGGTTAGAGCTCTAGCTCCCGGTTTGTGTTTCACTGGGGGGGTGCCTAGGCCCAGAGACCTTCCCCACCTCCTCGGGCCTCACTGTTACTCCGTGGTGAACGTCAGCTGTTTGACTCAAGGAGACTTCACTGTTCCGACGTGGTGAGTGCGGCTATTTAACTCTAGGAGGCATCGCTGTACCCAAGGTGCTGAGGGCTGGCTGTTTGGCCTTAGGAGGCATCACTATTCCCGCGTGCTGAGGGCTGGCTGTTTGGCCTTAGGAGGCATCACTATTCCCGTGTGCTGAGGGCTGGCTGTTTGGCCTTAGGAGGCATCACCATTCCCGC